ATATACTTATGATATATATATATTTTTGGAATTTATTTTTTTTTTTTTTTTAAAAATATATTGAATATATTGTTTTTTATTTTTTAGATGACATTCAGAGCACATTTTTGGCCCAATCATGCAAAATCCAGAGTAATCCCAAGGGGTTCAACAACTTGTTCTGCAACTGTAGTCTTCAGATTTTTTAAACCATAGATAAAAGTTAATTGTAACTTATTTTTTTACTTATATTTGTAAAACAAAATGTAGATTTGTATTTTATAAGAAAATTTTGGTATTTCAAATATATGCCAATATATTTGGGAAGAATATTTTTTAAATATATTTCAAATATATTTTTCTTCCATATGGGTTTGGGATTCTGTGAAGAGAGGAGGGGCCAAACTTCTGCTCAGATCACACAGACGATCTGAGCAGAAGTGGGAGTGGGTACTTATCAAAACGAGGTACCCGCATCCCCCTTCCCCCAAAAAAATTATATGTCAAATGTTGCAAGGGGGAGGAGGACCTTTTGGGTGAGGTTCCACTTTAAACTTCAGTCCAGAGATTTGGCCTAGGTTAAGGAAAAGAAATCTGGAAAATAATAAGTTTCAGGTAGAAGATACATTTTCTTCCATATTTTCTGTTTTTCCCCTTATTGCACAGACTGTATGAGTATAACTCCATAGAAAGTCTGTGTACACACTTTTTTCTACAGCTATCATTGCCCATGATTACTTAATGAATTGCTAGTAATCACTAGACTCAGGGAACAATTAAGCACAGCATCAACTAGTAATTAAATCGATCGCCTCTACATAACCGAGTTACAATCTCTTGAGTAAATGCCCATTAATTTAACCACCTTTTTAGAATATACTGATTTATACATTGGTATTTAATGAAGCACTACTCCTGTAGAACCCGCAGAAATATTGTCCAGGTCCTCCCCAGTTACTTTGCCCTGCAGCCAGGCAAATAGGCTCATTCACACGTTTCTCAATAACCAGTCTAGGGGTGTTGTTTTTATTTTTGGAGAAATTGGAAAGGATGAGTGGGATACTCCAAATATAGGAACTATGTATACATGAGGACTTTGTCTAATCTTCAGGGCAAACTATGTCAGAGTCCATGCTTAAATCAAACAGTGGACTTCAGCTTTAAGGCAGCAGTAAAAAGTAGTAGCAGCAGTAATAGTGGTAGTAACAGTAATAGAAGTAACTTCTTTAGAGCCCTAGAGCAGTGCCCCTTTAAAAGTAGGCCAGGAGGACAAAGCTCCTCAGAACACCAGCCGGTGTTCCCTATGCTAGACCTGCAGCTGACTTCCTAGAACCAGAAGGGTTTTAACAGCACTTAGTCTCTAAGATCCTTTAGGAATGTCTGTATTCACAGGTCCCAAGTGCAGCTGGATGCCTTACCCATGATACCAGACCAGATCCTCAGGGCACAGCCCCTCAGTCAGCATAGCAGAATCCGGGTCTCAGCATTCAGACCCTCAAGCTACCCTAAGGCCACATGGCAGGCTAGATCCTAGAACAGGAAAGAACCTAGAGCCCACTCACTGAATATATACAGTTCCCCAGCACGCCTTAGAGCCCCGCTCTCTGGGATAGGCATCTGCATAACTCCACACCTATAATCAAGAACAGGGGTTTCAAACTGGTGGCCCTCCAGCTGTTGCGAAACTACAAGTTCCATCATGCCTCTGCCTTTGGGAGTCATGCTTGTAACTGTCAGTCTTGCAATGCCTCATGGGACTTGTAGTTTGACAACAGCTGGAGGGCCACCAATTTAACACCTGTGATCTAGAAACTTCTAAAGTTTCCTGGATACAGAGGAAGATATAGGCAGACTAGTAGCAGCTTAACACTCGGAGCAGACCTAAGTAAACAATCACAGCTCACCCAGTACAGTGAGCTAACTATGCCTTTTCCTAATAAACACAACTAATTATTATTATACAGGATTTATATAGCACCACAGTTTGTGTAGCGCTTTACAATATAAGGGAGACAGTACAATTTCAATACATTTCAGTACAGAAGGAATAAGAGGGCCCTGCTATTGGAGCTTACAATCTAAAGGAAGGGGAGGTGATGCAAAAGGCGTTAGCTGCGGGGGATGATCTGGTGAAGTATTGTTCTGAGGTGGAGGTGGGGTAGGCTTCCCTGAATAAGTGAGTTTTCAAAGATCGCCTAAAGGCAGACAGGGTGGGGGCTGACCGGACATACTGTGGTAGGGAGTTCCAGAGGATGGGAGAGGCTCTGGAGAAGTCCTGGAGGCGAGCGTGGGAAGAGGTGATGAGGGAGCTAGAGAGGAAGATATCTTGGGAGGAGCAGAGTGGGCGATTTGGACGATACCTGTGGATGAGGTAGGCGATGTAACTAGGGGCAGTGTTGTGGATGGCTCTGTAAGCTGTGGTTAGTATTTTGAATTTTATACGTTGGGTTAGTGGAAGCCAATGAAATGATTGGCACAGAAGGGCAGCAGTCCCTGATCGGTTGGTAAGGTGTATGAGTCTAGCAGTAGCATTCAAAATAGACTGAAGAAAAGACCAGTGAGTCGGGAGTCACAGTAATCAAGGTGGGAAAAAACCAAGGTGTGGATAAGTTGTTTTGTGGTGTCATTGGTCAGAAAGGGGCGGATTTTGGAATTTTTTTTCCGGAGGTTGAGGTGGCAGGATTTGGCCAGTGATTGGATGTGGGGCCCAAAGGAGAAGTCAGAGTCTAGGATTACGTCTAGCACCCTGGCATGAGGGGAAGGAACAATTCTATGTATCTAATCCTAGCACCTACCTAGGAAGGTGCTACATCAATATCATGGAAGCAATTGGACAATTTAAAAATCAGTAATCATCAACACACGAGTTTGTATGTGGAGTATTAGACTGTCTAATATAACTGATGTAAGAGCAGAAATGTCTACTGTGGATTTTGTTGCTTGTACTACCCATCTGGGACATATTTAAAGGAAAAATACAATTTAAAGAAAAAGTGCACGTATTTCTGCTACAGAGCCAATTTCATAATGTGATTCTAGTACATATTATCTTTCTGTTTCAATCTGCAGGCAGCAGATTGGAAAAAAAAAGATCAAAATTCTCTTCCTGGTTACCATAGCAACAGTACTATATGGACAGGAATTCCCAGAATTTGTATCCCCTTACCTTTGAAGCCAGCACACTTCATAGAGCTTGAGCTCAAATTCCAGGATACCCCAGCTATGTCCCTCTATGTTAACTACACTAGAAGTTGGTGTGATAGCTGCTACCAATACTCCAAATTTCAAAAGGATGTAGTGGGTGCAGAACTTCTTGCTGCAACATTTATTTATTTAATTAAGTAAACTTGTAGAGAGAAATATGGAGGCTACCATTGCTGACCTTCTAAACACGATACATGAATGGCAGCCATGCTGATTCAATTATTTCTTTGACCTGCAAATGTTCACTATATGGCCAGAAGTTTGTGTATAGCTGACTAACACGCCATTATGAGTTGTTGGGCATTCTATTCTAAAACTGTGGGCATTATTATGGAGACTTCTGCTTTGGGGTTATACCAGCCTTCACTTTTCTGGAAGGCTTTCCAGATAATTTTTGAATGTGTCTGTGGGAATATGTATCCAGTTAGCCAAAAGAGCATGAGTGAAGTCAGGTGTTCAATAGGGTTGATGTTAGACCTCTTGTAGGCCATGTGTGTTCCTCCACATCAAACTCATCAAACCATGTCTGTATGCATCTGGCTTTGTACACAGGGACACAATCTTGGTGGAAAAGAATAGGGCCTTAACCTAACTGCTGCAAAATATCAAAAGTGTGCAATTCTCTATAATATTTTTGTATATTGTAGTATTAACAGCACCCTTCAATGGATATACTTCAACTAAAAAATTTGTAGCGGTGTCCACATACATTTGAACATTGTGTGCATGTAAATCAGAGTGAATTCAGGACTCCTAACCTGTATATTTCTTGCAGTTCAGTGGCTCAGTAAGTATTGATACTCCTAATTCAACAAGACAGCTGTATTGAAAATGACTATTTTTAGAAGAAGTCAGCAATCTCTCCCTACATACTTCATCAATATAGGTCTCCTTTAACGAGTTTGTAAGCCGAACATTTCATATTTCTGATACACCATGTGCCTGCTGTACCATGCACTTTTATGAAAAAGTATCCAGCTTCAACTATTCTGGGACGGCTGTCCACCACATTTAGGAGTGTGTCTATGGGAATGTTTGACCATTCTTCAAGAAACGCATTTGTGAGTCAAGTACTGATGTCGGACGAGAAGGCCTGGCTCGCAGTCTCTGCTCTAATTCATCCCAAAGGTGTTCTATCAGGTTGAGGTCAGGACTCTGTGCAGGCCAGTCAAGTTCCCCTACCCCAAACTTGCTCATCTATGTCTTTATGGACCTTGCTTTGTGCACTGGGGTGCAGTCATGTTGGAACAGGAAGGAGCCATCCCCAAACTGTTCCCACAATGTTTGGTGCATTAAATTGTCCAAAATGTCTTGGTACACTGAGGCCTTAGGAGTCCCCTTCACTGGAAAGGGCCAAGCCTAGCCCTTGAAAAAAACAACCCCACACCATAATCCTGCCTCCATCAAACTTTACACTTGGCACAATGCAGTCAGGCAAGTATTTTTCTCCTGGTAATCACCAAACCCAGACACGTCCATCGGATGGCCAGACAGAGAAACATGATTTGTCACTCCAGAAAACACATCTCCACTGCTCTAGACTCCAGTGGCAGCATGCTTTACACCACTGCATGCAACATTTTGCATTGCACTTGGTGATGTAAGGCTTGGATGTAGCTGCTCGGCCATGGAAACCCATTCCATGAAGCTCTCTTTCATTCCATGAAGCTCTCACTGTTGTAGTGCTAATCTGAAGGCCACATGAACTTTGGAGATCCTTAGCTATTGACTCTGCAGACAGTTGGCGACTTCTGCAAACTGTGCACTTCAGCATGTGCTGACCCCGCTTTGTCATTTTACATGGCCTACCACTTCGTGGCCGAGTTGCTGTTGTTCCCAGTTGTTTCCAAATTGTTACAATACCACTAACAGCCGACCATGGAATATTTAGTAGCAAGGAAATTTCACAGATGGACTTATTGCACAGGTGGCAACCTATCACAGTACCATGCTTGAATTCACTGAGATCCTGAGAACGACCCATTCTTTCACAAATGTGTGCAGAAGCAGACTGCATGCCTAGTTGCTTAATTGTATACACCTGTGGCCATGGAGGTGATAGGACACCCCTCCAAATCATTAGATTCAGGTGTTCCAAATACTTTTGGCAATATAGTGTGTGTGTGTGAATATATATACATACACAAAAAAGCTACACTGACGCAATCAGTGATTGTTATTTATGGAAGTAATTTAAATGTGTTCTCCTGTATATTAGATCCTTTTTATGTAATTTACCAGTCTCCTTTTGTTTCAGGCAACTATGTATAGAGAAAAAAAGACTGACAAAAAAATATATATTTTTGACAGAAAATTTCATTTGAGTTAATGGAGAGCTTTGGACAAAGTGGCAAATGTGTTTATGAGCCCAGTAGGCCTCTATGTCTAATAAGGTTATCAGCAAGTGAAAACCTGAGGAACTGTTAGGAGGAGAAGAATTTCTCCCAAATGGCTGTAAAATATTATTCCATCTATGTGTTCCTTGGGAGTAATGTTCATTATTTGCCTTGGAAACGTGTGAATATTTGACTGCAGAGCAGCTTGACAGGAGGATTAAACCTTTCCTCCGGATGGCTGTAAAGAGGAAAGATGATAGAATCCTACATGGGGGCATATTAATTTTAGCTCCCAAAAGTTAATAGTTTAAGAAGAGACAGTGAAAAACTGTCTAGATATTTTTTTGAATCTCATTCTAAGTGTCGTGGTTTGTCTTTTAGTCAATCTACATTTTATTCTGCTATTTTACTTCCAATGTTTTATGTTTTTTTCTTTAACAAAGTGTATACTGGGCAGCTAAAAGACAGGGGAATATGTGGAGTTTCCATTTCCATTTTAAAAGACAGGTAGTGCAGTGTCGAGCAATATTTTCAAAAACATGTGACTTCCTGTTAAGCAATCCTAAAAAAGAAAACTAAGTGTATATTTAAAAAAAAAAAAATCTGAGAAAAAGGGATTGTTTGTGCTTCTTCCTCATGGCAGCCAGAAATGTGACCGCTAGGCACTGAAAATCAGCAAAATCCCCCACGATTATGGAATGGACTTCTGAGCTTAATGGTATAAAACGTCTCGAGTAGCTGGTGGTACAACATCATGATAGAATTTCAGCCTATATGGCCACCTGGTGTATCTGGATATTCTTTTTGTACTCTCCCCGATTTCAAACCTATTCCTCCTAAATGAGCCATTCCCATAAACTCATTCCCCCCCCCCCCCATATTACCTTTTCTCCTTATCTCCCCTCCATTTCTTCCTTTCTCTCTATGTCTATGCGATTTGTGTTTTCCTTCAGACATCCTGGCAATGGGTTTTGTACCAAATTGATGCATATCTCTCCCCATCATTGTATTCCTGAAGCAACTCACTCCAGGCTCATTGACCCTCCTCACTTCTTTATGGCTATAAGGACCTTATTGCTGCTTTTTTTTTTTGTTTTTAGTAAATAGTGGTTTATAATCAACTCCAGTAGATCTCCAAAGAGGTCCTTAGTTTCTGGGAGGTTGTTAGTTATTTTGTTTTTCTTGCTGTGTACTTTGATAAAGAGAAGTCTTTGTCTTTGTTAACATTAATGGATGTTCCTAAATTTTCATGCAAGCCTGTATTTTGTTATGAAAAGTAAATAAAATCTTAAGCTTTAAAGAAAAAATCTGGGGAATCCAGTCTCATCCACATTTATAGATTCACCATCATTTACTGTTAAGTATGTTTGGGGGAACTTTTTAAATAGTATAAGATGTACGTAGTTCTGTTTGTTCTAAAGCAGCACACATTCTGACTGTATGCCATAAAAATGGGGTTAAACTTACAAAATATCTGTTTAACATGAAGTATTTAATCATCTGTGAAATATATTACATTGGCTAACGTACAATAGAAATTACTTTAAGCTATCAATGTGTGGTGGTTTAATTTATGTTATCATGAAACTATGTGTAAAAGTTCGTTTTCAGAGATTATTGTACAGATTGTCAATACTTAAATATCACTACTTCCTGCCTATCAAAAGTTTGGAGTTTCGATGGAAATGGAACCATCTGAGGGAGAAGTAAAATATAATTTCATGAGAAAAAGAGGCCTCAATAATAAATATGCATTTCATGCAAACAATATACATTGTGTGCTTATGCAATATTTATCTTTGTGAATTATGAATATAACTGCTTGTTTATTTCACGTTTGGTTAATATATGGCCTAAATCAGTTTTGCATATTTTCAATCATTTCTAGCGCTTATTTCTTTTTATCTTATTTTGAAATCTGCTTTTCAAATGTTATAAAATAAATCTACTGTAATAGGAATCAGATTATGAATTTCTAAAATTAATTTGTAATTTCTGATTTAAAAAACCAAAATTTTTGTAGTAAATTTTTATGGCCTTTAAACATCTTTATAAAGGCAGATTCATATCTCTATAATGGTGAATGTTCAAATAAAGGGTTTTCAGGGAATGTGCCACAAATAGGTGAGTTAACAGGACTACTTAGATTGATAGGCAACATGGGTGCCTTAGGAGTCACTAGAGGTCCCCATAGAAGGATGTCAGTGCTAGGAACGGGGCACTTAGAGTTACTTCCAGCCCTGCCCCTGTCAGTAGTGGGGCACCATATGTAGGTGACAATATGTCAAAGATATGACAAAGATATAAATAGTTTTGGCTGGGAGCTGTCAGTGTTTGATTTTGGTGGGAAGTACTGAGAACCAACTACAGCAGGATGTAGGCTGTAAGGATCCATCTTAGAGCTTCCCCTTGGCAAACTAGAAGAAGAGCAGGACTTTACGGACTATGCACATCCCTGGCTAGGGATGCAGGACTCTGGGCAACCCTTGTAAGGTACAAGCTACTCTTTCTAATTATCAAACATTCTGTTTGTAACTGGAAGATGTGTGCTGTCTCCTAGGACCAGGATTACTTAAGTTGATAACGGCAACCTGTTTATGTAAATGTTCAAAGGCTTCTGCTTTTGGACTTCTCCTGGTAACAAAACCTGTGAGTGCAGGCTGCTGTGGGGACTCATTGTTTAAGGCCTGTGGCGGGAATGTTGAAACCCAGAAGCAGAATGCCGTTTCATAGTTACCAGTTATCCCAAGGAGCCCCAGGACCAGAGTATCTTGGTGTTGGGAACCACTCCCTGTCCAGGCATGAATGGGTTAAGTGCACGCATGCTGATCATGCAGCCGAGGCAGACCAACAGCATTAATTGCATACTTTTAAATCTACACAAATGAAATTCTTTAGCAAAACTGGAAGTTAATCACTATGAACACTGATAATAATTCAAAGTTTTGTTTGTGTTCTCTTTAAAACCAGCAGAATGTTTTTCTCACCAACAGCTGCAGGATACTTTCTTCCATTCTGCAATACTACTGTGCTTGGGTTATGATGCTAAAGCACAATGTTCACATTAGGCAGTGAATTAAACTTGGCGGCCATTATGAACACATTCAGCCAGTATCTACATAGTATGCTATGCTACACTGATAATTTCCTTAACTGAAAATGACCAAGCAAAGTTTGCTCTAGTTTTATTGTCAGTGAGGTGTATACTTAAGCATTCAATAGACACAGATGTGAGAAAACAAAATGGGCCATAGGATGCAAATTACCTCATTAAGATCTTCTAGGCAATGTTGTGTTTAGCTTTTTGTGGCTTGTGAAATTACACCACCCAATTCTTGCTTTCTGCAAACTGTGTGAAACCCATGATTTTTCTGCTTTCACACGTGCCTTGTCAGGAGAATTAAGAATAAGACTGGTTTTACATGCAGTGCTAAAATGTTACAACCAGTTCTAGTTTATCCTTATGTCCTCCTTTTTGAACTCATAGGGGTTTATTTACTAAAGCTGGAGAGTCCAAAATCAGACTCCCTTCTGCATAGAAACCAATCAGCTTCCAGGTTTCATTGCCAAAGCTTCATTGAACAAGCTGAGGTTAGAAGCTGATTGGTTTCTATGCAGAATGGAGTCTGATTTTGGACTCTCTAGCTTTAGTAAATAAACCCCATAATGTCCATACTTAGCCATATAAGATTGGTTGGTCAGCCACTTTGTAATTGAAAAATTGTAACTGTATGGATGAAAGGGAAATAATAGCTAAACCCTAACCAAATACACATATTTGTATTACTATCTATTAGCTCTTGAGGCAACCCTACAATCTAAAACTTTGTTTGGTCATTTTCAGTTAAGGAAATTGTCAGTGTCTAATTGTTCTCTATGTTCCTCCCAAGACCTCCTGCTCTATATCTCCCTTGTCACTTCCCCACATGCTCGCCTCTAGGATTTCTCCTGAGCATCTTCCATCCTCTGGAACTTCCTACCCCAATCTGTCTGACTAACTCCTATTCTGTCCACTTGTAGAAAATCCCTGAAAACATTTCTATTCAGAGAACCCTATCCTGCCTCCACCCAATAGTTATACGGTTATTTTCTCAATCAGCTCATCCCCCACAGTTATTACTTTTTGTATCCCTCCCACTTAGTTTGTTAGCTCTACTGAGCAGGGCCTTCTGATTCCAACTGTATTAAACTGTATTGCAATTGTACTGTCTGCCCTTATGTTGCAAAGCGCTGCATAAACTATTGGTGCTAGATAAATCCTGTATAATATTAATAATAATAATAATCTCATATTCCTCTGATGCAGTTAAGCAATACAGCTTGGTCAACAGCCTTTACCCAGAAGTCCTGACCAAAGGCACAAGTACTGCCTGATAAGGCACATTGGATTGAAAGGACATTCCATGAATAGCTATTTTTATGTGAGGTGCTTTAATTCTCATTGAATTGGGCATTAAAGTAACATAAGTGTAAGGGAATTCAAGTGAGACATAGACGTGCCCAAGCACATGGCATCACTCGTAGAATTGTGCGCATACGCAGGAGTGTGTCCACAGTTCCTATTGGCACCAGATGGGCTATTTAAGGGATGCTGTTGCTCACTGTCAGTGCTGACTGGTCTTTAGCTTTTCCGCTGTCCTGAGTATTTCCTGTATCTGATTCCGTTGTTACTGACCTGATCTAGGATTCTGCTTGTACCTCTGTCTGCCTGTTCCTGACCCCGGCTCCTGCCTAGGCTTTTGTACCTCGTTGCCCACCTGCTACTGACCTTTGCTGCCTCTGTGACCTCGCTCCAGTCTATAACTTGGCTTCATACTACTTCTCAGTGCCTGCTTCAGCTGTCCTTCATATCAGCTCCAGTCACTGCAGTATGTTCCTACCTAAAGTCTCCTGAGAACGTCATGCATCCAAAACCTGCAGAATATGTGCAGTATAACCTCAGCTAGTCCAGCTTGCATCATCTCTACTCCTGGCCTGATGTCCTACCTGACCTCTCTAGCCTGCACCTCCTACTACAAGTTCTGTTATCAACCTCTGCTGGCACTTGTGTTCCTCCTGCCCCATGGCATGGCAGCCTAAGCTGGACATACAAGAAAGGCCAACCTCATCAATTCAGTCTCCTACCAGGTATGTGACAATAAGTTCCCATTCACACTTGAGAATGGGGCGGAAAACCCCAATCAAAGCAATGGGAGACTGACAGCACCTGCAGTTATTTGCATCTTTGGAGGATGTCTGCATCCAGGGCTGATCATCTGCAGGACATCACTGTATGACCAATTACATGTGAACAATTGCTAATTGCATGGAACTCCGCTGGGTTTCCCTTACAATTACAGTCACCCTTATCCATGAGTATTTTCCATGCATATAAGAAAATTTTGTAAGACTTGCAGAATTTGACTTGCCTAGCACAAAAATTTTCTACTGTTTTTAAACCTTCCCTATTTTTCACCAAAACTAAAAGGGAAAAGTTTTAGCTTTACAAACATTTTGGGGCTGATTTACTTCAGACAAATAAGGCTGATCACTTTGCAAGGAAATTTTCAATTTGCAAGAAAATATTCCCTTAGCTTAATGAATGTAGTGAAAATTCATTTTGTAAAGAATACCCAAACACTCGTAAAGACAATACAAAACAGTATTTTTGCTTGCACATAATTGGATGATAGAAGTTAGTGGAGCTTTACAATATTTATTAAGATAAGGGAAATTTGCTTGCAAAGTGAAAATTGCAACTTGAACATTCTATTTACCTTTAGTAAATCAACCCCTTTCTGTCAAAATACAATCCTATGCAGTGAAGCAAATGTAACAACCTATAAATAGCAGAATTTTAGAATCTGACAAAGGGCGATGGGAAAAAGGAAGACATTTTGGCATGTTATTAATATGACAAATGCACTTAGTTGAACAGTTCTATATAGTAGTTACAATATTTTTTGGTTTGTGTGTTTTAGAAATCTGCCCACAGGCCTCAGATGGCATGTAATGTTTAGGAGAAATTTGTAGTCATGTGACATCAAGTATTTGTTACAGCAGATACAGATTTTGTACAAAAATTATAAGTGAAATAGCTTTGTATTTTATATAATTTAGACTTTTGCTGTTACTCTGGGCTGCACTATGGTATCTATAGGATGTAAACTGTGTTCTTTTCAACATGTAACAGAACAGATGGACATCACATGATGCTTCTTAGAAATGCTAATTAGGACAGACTTGTGGTGAAGCCTATATCTCTGTGTAATCCAACCTAATGATACCTGATAGCTATGCCACAATAAATCTTGACAAGCTTAATTGATTTGTTTAAGCAATTCTAATAGGCATGATCTGTTGAATTGTACATTATAATACTCATTGTTTGATACTATTTAGAAGGCCACATAATGCCAGCTGCTGCAGAAAGAAACCAGCTTGAATACTTTAATGCATAGCATGTAAATATAATATCAATTAGCCCTGGAAATTGAAACTTCTTAATCATACAGCACAGGACACAGGCTGGATTATTCATAGACCCTGGGTGATACCTACACATCATTAGACATTGGCAAAAGCTTTGCTGGGTACACATTCTGGACTCCTATAACTCCACTTTGTGAGTCCTTATCATACTGAAAACCTCTGAAAGGAATATATAAATTATCAAACCATAGTGTTACTTGATACAGGTCTATCAGATATACACTATATTACCAAAAGTATTGGGACGCCTGCCTTTACACACGCATGAACTTTAATGGCATTCCAGTCTTAGTCCATAGGGTTCAATATTGAGTTGGCCCACCCTTTGCAGCTATAACAGCTTCAACTCTTCTGGGAAGGCTGTCCACCAGGTTTAGGAGTGTGTCTATGGGAATGTTTGACCATTCTTCCAGAAGCACATTTGTGAGGTCAGGCACTGATGTTGGATGAGAAGGCCTGGCTCTCAGTCTCCACTCCAATTCATCCCAAAGGTGTTCTATCGGGTTGAGATCAGGACTCTGTGCAGGCCAGTCAAGTACCTCCACCCCAAACTCGCTCATCTGTCTTTTTGATACTTGCTTTGTGCACTAGTGCACAGTCATATTGTAACAGGAAGGGGCCTTTCCCAAACTGTTCCCACAAAGTTGGGAGCATGAAATTGTCCAAGATGTCTTGGTATGCTGACGTTTTAAGAGTTCCCTTCACTGGAACTAAAGGGCCAAGCCTAACCACTGAAAAACAACCCCACACCATAATCCTGCCTCCATCAAACTTTATATTTGGCACAATGCAGTCAGGCAAGTATTTTTCTCCTGGATATCGCCAAACCCAGACACGTCCATCAGATTGCCAGACAGAGAAGCGTGGTTCATCACTCCAGAGAACATGTATCCACTGCTCTAGAGTCCAGTGACAGCGTGCTTTATACCACTGCATCTGATGCTTTGCATTGCACTTGGTGATGTAAGGCTTGGATGCAGCTGCTCGGCCATGGAAACCCATTCCATGAAGCTCTGTACGCACTGTTGTTGTGCTAATCTGAAGGCTATATGAAGTTTGGAGGTCTTTAGCTCTTGACTCTGAAGACAGTTGGTGACTTCTGCTTACTATGCGCTGACCCCACTCTGTCATTTTACGTGGCCTACCACTTCGTGGCTGAGTTGCTGTTGTAATCAGTTGCTTCCACTTTGTTATAATACCACCAGGGGTGGACTGACAACTCATGGGGCCCCTGGGCAATAGGGGATCATGAGGCCCCTGTGTCCTTGCCCACACTCAAAGCACACCCAAAAAAGCCTATGATAAAAGGTACCAGGGGCATTTCATGGGGCCCCCTACTGACCCCGGGCCCTCGGGCAGTGCTCGAGTGCTCGAATGGTCAGTCCGCCCCTGAATACCACCAAAAATTGACCATTTAATATTTAGTAGCAAGGAAATTTCACGGATGGACTTATTGCACAGGTGGCAACCTATCACAGTACCACACTTGATTTTACTGAGCTCCTGAGAGCGACTCATTCTTTCACAAATGTTTGTAGAAGTAGTCTGAATGCCTAGGTGCTTGATTTTATACGTCCGTGGCCATGGAGGTGATTGGGACACCTGAATCTAATGATTTGGACAGGTGTCTCAATAGTTTTGGCAAAAGAGTGTAGTACAAGGGGGCAGTGGTGTAATAGCAGGCATAATAATTATTATTATTATATAGAATTTATACAGTATAGAACCAGCAGTTTGAGCAGCACTTAACATTATAAAAAGGAGATAGTACAGTGACAATACAGCTCAGTAGAAGAGGGTTAGGAGGGCCCTGCTCCATAGCAGCTCATGTTGCTGCTGTAGAGCCTGGGATGGGCAAGTACTACCCGGAGTACTGCTGAATAGCAAGTCATATATTCTGCCATGTTATTACTTATTTAGGCACCAACTGTGAATTTAATCTATATGCTTCTCTATCAGCTGGTCCTCAATTTGACAACAACCTTCATCATATGGAACATCATTTTATGATAATTATCTAACTTCTGATATCAGATATACAGGAATTCATTCCATGTGCTTTCTCACATCTTATCTTAATTATTTATCGCCCCCCATGTGTGTATCTGTGTGGTTCTATAAGCAGCTGCTTAGGTGACCAGACAATGTTGTCTTTTTAATTTGGTGAAGTTATGGTGGTGGTTTGCTCAGCTTCTGTGTACTAATTGTGCTAAGCATAATTGTTTTCCAATAAAGTCCTTTTGATTAAACTGCATGGTCCCATATGAAACTACCTTCTGGGGGGGACCTCTTTCCCCCATGCATATGTTATTTTAAGCAGAGCAGCATACACAGTATTCAGAAGGAAAAGGACATCGAATGGCACGTGTTTTCAGATGGTAATTTTCACTCTGAAAGTGTCCATCTCCAATCTACCTTTTATACATAAACATGATGCAATGCCTTTTACATATTTTATATAGTAGTATAGTCAGGACTTTTTTTTCAGCGGGAACACGGGGGAATGCAGTTCCGACACCTCCAGCACTCATGCAGTTCCGACACCTCCAACACTTGTAATCGCAAGAGGTGCTGGGATGTTCTAGAAGGTCTACTAATGCTGGCTGCTGGGCGTTCTATTGTCACTGGTGGGGATATATTTTTGTGTGGTGGTCTATTGTTGCTGGGGAGGTCTATTGTTGATTGTGAGGGATCTATTGTTGCTGGTGGGTCAATCGTTGCAGGAAGGGGTCTACTGTTGAGTGAGGGGTCTTTGCTGCTAGGGAGATCTGCTGTTGCTGCTGGGGTCTATTGTTGAAGGGGTGTTATTTTGTTGTGGGTGTACATTCTTGGTGGGGATCTGTTGCTGCTGTCTGCGGGGGATCTGCTTTACTGCTTTTTTTGTTATCAATAATAAATTCCATGCAAATTACTTAGCACGACAAATTTATACTTGGCTCAGTATTCTCTAAAAGGAGCAGTACTGGAAGGTGGGTAGGGTGTGGAACCAAGGTATGGTACTTGGAGGTGGGCGGCAAGAAAGTGACTTAGAGGGGAGAAGTTCCTGCACCTATCCTCTAAGAAAAAAAGCCCCGAGTATAGTAGTGATACTAAAAATAAAAGGAGCACCCATTCTTGTGTATATGGTTTGAATCTATACAGAAACATATAGCTCCTCCCAACATGCTGACGGAAAGTTTCAAAATAGAAATGCATAAGTAATCAAGCTAGCTTACAGTGGGGCAAAAAAGTATTTAGTCAGCCACCAATTGTGCAAGTTCTCCCACTTAAAAAGATGAGAGAGGCCTGTAATTGGCACCATAGGTAGACCTCAACTATGAGAAACAAAATGAGAGAAAAAAAATCCAGACAATCACATTGGCTGATTTGGAAAGAATTTATTTGCAAATTGTGGTGGAAAATAAGTATTTGGTCACCTACAAACAAGCAAGATTTCTGGCTCTCACAGACCTGTACCTTCTTCTTTAAGAGGCTCCTCTGTCCTGCACTCATTACCTGTATCAATGGCACCTGTTTGAACTTGTTATCAGTATAAAAGACACCTGTCCACAACCTCAAACAGTCGCACTCCAAACTCCACTATGGTGAAGACCAAAGAGCTGTCGAAGGACACCAGAAACAAAATTGTAGACCTGCACCAGGCTGGGAAGACTGAATCTGCAATAGGCAAGCAGCTTGGTGTGAACAAATCAACTGTGGGAGCAATAATTAGAAAATGGAAGACATACAAGACCATGATAATCTCCTCGATCTGGGGCTCCACGCAAGATCTCACCCCGTGGGGTCAAAATGATCACAAGAACGGTGAGCAAAAATCCCAGGACCACACAAGGGGGGACCTAGTAAATGACCTGTAGAGAGCTGGGACCAACGTAACAAAGGCTACCATCAGTAACACACTACGCCGCCAGGGACTCAGATCCTGCAGTGCCAGACGTGTCCCCCTGCTCAAGCCAGTACATGTCCGGGCCCGCCTGAATTTGCTAGAGAGCATTTGGATGATCCAGAAGAGGATGGGAGAATGGGAGAATGTCATATGGTCAGATGCATCAGATGAAACCATAAAATAGAAACTGTTTGGTAGAAACACAACTCGTCATGTTTGGAGGAGAGAGAATGCTGAGTTGCATCCAAAGAACACCATACCTACTGTGAAGCATGGGGGTGGCAACATCATGCTTTGGGGCTGTATTGAGATGAACTTTTCATATTGACCAAATACTTACTTTCCACCATAATTTGCAAATAAATTCTTTCCAGATCAGCCAATGTGATTGTCTGGATTTTTTTTTTCTCATTTTGTCTCTCATAGTTGAGGTCTACCTATGATGCCAATTACAGGCCTCTCTCATCTTTTTAAGTGGGAGAACTTGCACAATTGGTGGCTGACTAAATACATTTTTGCCCCACTATATATGTCAAAGACAGAAGTAAACTTCAAAATTAATATCATTACATTATGACATTTATATATATTTTTCAGACACCTCTATAATTTAGAATAATAGTAAACTCTGAAACTCTAACAGAAAGCTGAGAAATCATGGAGTATTTTTAGTATAATAAATGAATGATATTAAAAACACAACATAACAGGGAGCATACTTCATCTGACAAATATTCTAGATCAAGGCGCAAGGCATATGCTCCATTTGGTATTTCCAATTTTATACAAGGCGAATGAAAAAAGAGCACAGTGTCTGTTTCAGGTACATCATGAGAATTAAATCACAATTTGCAGACAGAATTGGCAGTACAGTAAGTTTGTCCTCTTTTTGCAGACACAAACACTTTTTCTACCTAAGAATCGACACTTGGAAGCTGGCTTTGTCTCATATTAAAAGTACATAACTCTTGTTCTAACCCTGTGCCGTTTTAAAGTGTAAACCATAATGGTATAGTCTTTGTGCTGTGTTCACAGAAGCCTCTTCAGTATTCTATTGTTTCTTCCCTTCAATACTCAGATCTTTATGGTTTCTTATATGCTGCTAAACTTTCCATTGCACTTAAATACATTTTAAACATAGTTTTATTGATCTATAGTCCATACTTGAAAGCATTGCTACAATAAAATATTGATTCAGTGCAGGGTAAATGTCTGGTACTGTATGTTAGGGGTAAAATATCTGGTAGGTTATGTGTAATTTGAAATATTCAATTGGCCTACATGGTAAAAATGATTCCAAATGTCTGTAGATATTGCTTATCATAAACACAACTAGCTATTCATTGAACACATGTAAACATCACATTATTGTATCTATTGACCCCGGTTTAATCCAGAATCTACACTTGGAATACATAAATGTAGCAGATTAGGGTATACAGTATACTTTGCATGGATGTTCACCAACAAACCATTTGTTTTAATGGGCTAAATCTACAAAACAAATTAGGTTTGTGATAGAAACAAACAATTAATTTAAAGCTCCATGAAAATGTAAAAATCCGCCATTGCAATGGGAGCCCCCCCCTCTCCCCACAGTGCAAAGGTTAAATGATCATTTCATCTTGGATAGGAGGATAAAGGAGTAAATACTTACCCTATTCCCTTATTCCTCACTCCAGCAGACACCCTCAAGTGCTGCGACCAGTCCCCTGCAGCTGCTCTGTAAGCTGCGACCACGTCTGGTTACACCCCGGCCTCCTAAAAGTTTTATATGTGACGGTTCTGAGGTTCCACCCACAGGCCAGAGCTTTAGTGGAGGAGGTGAGCACATTTGTTCTTAATGCAGCAAATAGTTTTGAGGAGCATTTCACCTACTAGTCCCAAGGAGGTGCAAGAGCAGGGGATGAGTTTGCCTGCAACTGATGAACATTTGAAGCAGCAAAAAATGGAGTGCAATGGGAAAGACTGGTTCCAAACAAAAGAAATGCAAGTCATCCACACTACACAAACTAAACTGAAATCTGCAGATTTGGGATTAAAACACATCCTAAATAATAGCAGTTCAAGTTTCATGGAAATAATATAGATTGAAAATATAAAACCAGTAACACTGCAGTAGAGAATCAATAGTCAACTATATGGATAAAGTGGTCAAGGGAACTCTTCCTCTCTACAATAAAAAGGCAAAATTAGTTTGGTTGTTAGAATTGTTCCAGGAATGTTTAACTGGGAGGGTGTTCTAAAGCAATCCCATAACACACTATTTCTCGGTTGGTGCAGAGACATCTTGGAATCCTTAAAAAGGTTGTAAACCCAATGTTGGTCAAATGCTGAATACTGTCATCCATAAATACCTTTGAGTGCTCTGTGTCTGATCACCTCTTTGTAACATTTTTCTGTCACTCCATTTTTGAGATGTAGCCCTCTAAAGTTGTTCCTTTCTGTGGGCGTGGTGGAAGTCTGGAGCTTGGGCGGCGTAGTAGTGATGTCACTGGAATCCCCTCCATAGTGGAGCACACTGTGGGAGTGCTGCCCACGCCCCATGGTCAGTCCTGTCCAATCATACACCTGGATCTGCACCACCTGACCTCCTCCCCTTCCACAATGCTGAGGGACAGAGCTGCCAATCCAGGTGCAGCAGGAGGCAGAGAGGAAGGTGGGAGAGAGAGAGATCTGTGCATGAGTGCACAGGAGACACCAACACTTCTCGTGCTAGTGCATGAGAAGTATTATGTA